ATTTAACATCGCTGTTGTGGAAATGTTCCTGTATTTACTGATAAGTATATCCTGTATCTATATGTACCTATAAGTATGTCCACAACGCGCATTTTCCCCCAAACTGGGCATTACCTCCTTTTTCTAAGTTTCCCTCAGAAGAAACCCTGATGCAGGAGTATACTCTGGGGCTTGTTGTCAGAATCATCATAGGAAGTTGTGACGACATAACTCTAAAACGTCATGTTTTTATGGCAAGGTGTCGTGACATTCGTAACTTGAACATGTTGAATGATACATCTTAACTATCTCCAATGTTTTGGACGATGGGTGTCCGGTTACCTACCAGTCCACTGCTTGCTAGTTTTCGGCGGCGTATGATTCCTGAAGTAGTTTGCGATGCAGGTTGGTTCACGGTCGAGCATCGTTGCGATGAGTGAGTACTTCGCGCCATGAAGCAGCCGAAGCTTTTCGATCTCCTCACGCTCCTTCTGTGTGAACCTGCGCAACGCATCAGAAACATGGAACAAAGCCATGATGAGGCGGAGAGTAAAATGTGGGTCTCCTCGAGGGATGAATGACCTATCCGGCCTGCGTAACTGACGCTGAGAGGGTCTATGTCCCCCAGGGTACAGCCGGAACGTACCCTGGTACTATCTAATATGCCGGACCGTACCTCGCCTACTCCACTACTGAGTCTAGGGAGTCGCTACGCCTACTCCCTAACCCTATCCAACACAATAGTTACCAGGGTACGTTCCGGTATAACAGGACCGTATCCAGGGTAGTTCCGCAGTACCCTGGAGGACATAGACCCATGAGCGTAACTGACAGTTGCTCTAGCCTGTCAGTAATTGTGATTGGAGGTTTTTTGCAAACATGCTTAGTAATGACTTGTCACAAAGTCGACCTTTTGGTGTTCACCACGAGCAACTAAGATGAGCTTGACGCGATATAGCAAGAATGTCCAAAAGAGGGCATGGTTATCATGCTCAGACACATATGTCAATTGTGAATGTTAGGCAAATGTGCGATGCTTATTCATGACAATGTCACCACTGGAGACAAAACCTATTATTATATTATTAAATCTTTATTGCATGTAATTCAGATACAAATACATGTACTGGACGACAGTTTTTTTTCATGAGAAAAAATCTGATAATGCAATACTGTTTGAGTAGTTAAAAATAATTCACATTTCTGAGTGATACAGTACAAAACAGTGCTATACAACCATCACATGAAGAAAAATATATACAAAAAAAAACTTCAGCATTATTCTGTACTAGTAGTGCTGAAGACCTAGGAAGTAGAATGTGACCTATGCATCCTATTGACTTATCTCATGTGGCAATTTTACACACATATGGATCAATCAGTACCTCCCCTTCTTGTGGGTCGTGCACAAAGTTTTTTGCTCGCTTGTACACACTCCAAATCGTGTCGGTCAAGATGCTGGCTTAAAAGCCAAAAGTAAAACACTCTTCAGGCAACATTTGAGCAATCGTCATTATTCGTTACCGGGAGCACACAAGTGATTGTGATAGGCAAAATGAGTTATAAGTTGCACTCATTCATTCTTTGTATTCGTGCATTGAAGTCTAATAGATGACATACATGGTGGTTATAAATGTCTGCGCTATATACAAAAATAAGTAGCACTTTACTTATCAAGTCTGAGATGTAGTTCAGCAATAGCAGGACGCATCACTACACAAGACGACAAGTAAAATGCGTCTTGCGTTTAATTTTTCAAAGTCAGCTTTCTGCCATGATTCAGACTACTGAACAAGTCATTCGGACTATCCAAGCATTCTTTTGTAATCCTGTGTGTATTACAGAAAACAGAAGACAATCATAAATAGTAGAGGTGTTCACTACAAATTTCCACATTCTTGCACATCTACTGTTTGGCATGTATAGTGTCTAAAGAAATATACTCCCAATATTCAGCAAGTTCTGTTTCAATATCTGTAGCTCCTTTGTACTGTATCGGGCTCGCTTTTGTAAGTGATACCTTGAAACAAAATAACAAACAAAGATATAGTTGCAGCTTTGCAACTCTGTAGACAGAGTTAGTACAGGTAGCCAATGATCACTGTTGCCGAGCAAACAACACTTAAAATAAAACGAGTCACACCATAGTATGGCAAAACCATACCAGTGATCATTCAAGAAATTCATGCTGACGTCGTAATTTCTGAAAAATTCTATTTTTCAGCAGAAAAGGACAATATTAAATATACTGGCTGTGGTGTGAACATGTAAATATAGTGCATTATACACTAGGCTGCATAAGTTATGAAAAAGTAGTATGCAAAGTGATAATCCCATTAACATTGTCTTATTATCTGTTAAGTGCTACCTTTTTCCACAATTACTTGAGGCTCTTTTTCCCCCACATCCTGCAAAGCTGGTATTCCTGATTTACCTGCAATTAAATTTGAGAGTACCGTCTGCGGAACATCTGCCATGTCAGAGTCCACGCTGTAACATCAAACAGCGCGCAGTGACTGTGACTGGTGACGCGAAGTTCTCTCACAATCGTTCGTAACTAGTTATGGCAATTTGGTCAGTTAAAACACATTCGGACACGGAAAGCTCACTGTGCTACAGGATTAAGTAGAAATAAAGGAGGTTAGTCGAAGAGAAGAACCTTGATTCATTAGAGATTAAAGGTGGAGAAATAAAGTAATGCATTAGGTCAATTTTTATACGAGCACATTGTCTCAAACTTACATCGCCATAAATTGTTGTTAGTTGCACATGTACGAATGGGAAGAGGTTGAACTGGAGTTTTCTTCTTCGTCGCCTATGAAATCTTTCTTGACCTAGAGTAATTATGACACAAAATCTGTTAATTCATTCAATTAAATCATCTACTATAGATATATATTAGTACGTAATTATTTGCACCGTGTAATATCATTTTGGTAGTAACAAGTGTAGCGCTTAGTTGTAATATTTGACAGATATGAACATTGTGTTCTTGTGTTACTTTCTCAGGGCAATCTATCTAAATATCATCAACTGGATAAATAGCTTGTACCTGGTGAATGGGCCATTCTTAAACGATGATGTTTTCCTCCTTTTCTCTTTCTGGCCTTTTTTTCTTTTCTTCGATGTACTGTTTGAATCTGGCTACTATAAATATAATCAAAGACTGATCAGTGCGATTACAGACTGAGCCTCTTCACTTTCATTGTTTTTTTCTTTTTACACCTTTTCACGACACTTCTTTTTCTTAGATTTCTTGTTCAATGTTTCACTGACACTGTTCACAAGTAGGTGTATAGGAGTATCCATTGCCGATTTGGTAGCTAGCAGCTGAGATGAAGAATCCTTTTCACGGCACTTCTTCTTCTTCTTCTTCTTCTTCTTCTTCTCCTTCTTATATTTCTTGTTGAATATATCACTGTTACTGTCAGTGTAACTGCTGTTCCTGAGTGGGCTTATTTGAGACTCCATTGATGATAGGGTAGCCAGCACTAGTACCTGTCAACCGAGATCAGATAGTATACATAGTAGCTATAGCAGCCTGATGACGTCAACGGGGCCAATTTGAGCAAAACGGCACTAGTTGAACATTGCTTGGAGCATTCTTAATCTTATATTTAATTAATAGAGTTCTATTATTATTATACCTCATTGTAAGCACTAAATATAAAATAATAATGCTACAATCTATTCTTAGCATTTTCAGTTGACAATGGGTGGTTTTACTTTTAAACAAGGTAAACACTCGTTTCCATCCCTCAAACCGCCCTCGGTCGTTTCCGGTGTGCAGATTAAACTCTGTTTAATTGACTGTATTATATTTTAAAATAATGTTTTTAGTTCTTAGATGCCTTATTCATCTTTGTTTGAGTTCTTAGATGCCTTATTCATCTTTGGTTTGGTTTGCATGCATTGCACTTTTGTACTAAATACATATGACTGGGCCATATCCATATTGTTTCCATCACCCAAACCACCCTTGCCCGTAAAAGACGTATTCCAAGCTCTGTTTTCTCCGTTTCGAATCGAATAGATAACGTAAGTGTAATGGTGGCCATTCTAAATGCAAGGCACCATTTTTAAATATAATACAGTCAATTAAACGGAGCACACTGGAAACTAGATGGACTTGCGACCCCAGTTATTGCGCGCGGCTAAGCCGCGCCCCAACAGCGAATACGCCGCTCCCTTATTGTCCACTTAGACAGATAACTTAACTTTGCTGTCATTATTCTTTACCCGTACTCTGAACCCAGCCACGCCGGCGCCGGCGGGTATGGCCCGTAGCAACGTGGCCCAGATGAGTCTAGAACATATGCCGCCAAAAAAAATCCGCCCTTCCCCCACCCCCAAAAAACCACAATCTCCCCTTCCTCCCACCGCCTAGAAATGCCCTTTAATCACGCCCGCCCCCCAAAATAGACACCGACCCCAACCTCAAAGAGGCGGCTCGTTACATTCCCCCCCAGAAAAATCCATCCGCCACGCAAAACTCGACCAAACAACACGCGGTCGCGTGCCGCCCAGTCCCGGCGGAAGTGCGCGGCTTAACCGCTCTCGCGTGCCGGGAACAACGCATCTGTTTGCCGCACGCCATCTTGTAACCGGTCTCTCTGGATACCAATACAAGCCTAATAACAATCCCCTGTAAAACAACCAGTAGGGTTGTGCCTGGTTCTCGCATACTCTTGTTTGGTTTTGCACTACCACTATGCTTGACATCTTGTGGGTTTACATTATTGTTCTAACCGGAACGACAGACGAGGGCCGTTTCTTGAAAGCAAGTTGCTGTTCACAGATACTGTTTACCTTTAAAATTTAGACCAATGTTTATTATCTTCCAGAATTCACACCACAGAATCCGGCATTCAAATCACCTTTAATCCGGCGAGAATGAGCAACACGCACCCGCTTTAATTTTGTGAGCTTAGTAGCTAGACAAAGCACCTTACTAACAAAACAATTTCCCCTAAGCTCAACTTAGTTACTAGATAATGTAGTCAGGTGAGGGAGTCCAGGTAGACTCCGTGATAACTTCCATTCAGAAGTACAGTAAAGGAAAGGTTACCCTACATTATTAACTAGAATACAGGCCTAACTACAAAAATCTGGCACGCGCCCCACATTAATTAGCGTTAATTCACAATAATAACATTACATGCAAAACCTAATAAATCGACAATTCTATTTACTAACAAAGTCTTAATGTTTTCTACTCCGTCATTTTTCTTAACCTATTATTGCCACATATTGACCATTTCCTGTATACATCCGTCAAATGTCTAAAATCACGGGTAGGACACATAAGCAACCATCCGCTGCAGCCAATCACGCAACTCGGCACGCGTAAGTCCGAGCGCGATGGACCACGACCAAAGTATAATGAGGTAAATACCCGCACACCCTCGAGCTTAGCAACGCGCGAGTATAACGTTCATGCATATTGCGGACAGACGCACTTAACTAGCCTTGAGTGCA